AGGGAAACCAGCAGGTTCCAGCTCATGGAAGACCGGAGCAATTCTTTGTGACTACAAGGCCCCGTGTGTGTGTGTGTGTGTGTGTGTGTGTGTGTGTGTGTGTGTGTGTGTGGCTGAAGTGCAGCAAAGTTGAAGCTCTTTTTCTAGAGAAGGCTGAGGAATTCTGAGGCCAGGGAGCCGGAGGATACCATCATGAAAGCCAACCGCATCTCTGAGCTTGGAGGAGCAAGGTATGGAAGGGGAAGTGAGCCTAAAGTGGCAAACACAGGAGGAGGGAGTTGTGTGGCTGGCAGGGGAATGCTGATGGGCGGGAACAATTGATGGCAGAAACTTAGAGAAAAGCAGCTCAGCAAGAGTGTGAGAATGGTCTAGAAGTGATTCTGGGAAAAGGGACAGGCAAGCTCTGCACATTTCCTACAGAGCCCAAGTCAGAAAAGATGATTTCTTAAGATGACTTGGAAAATGTACATAGTCAGGTTTCAGATCTTAGTAAGTTTTAACTGGAATTTATTATATATATATATATATATATATATATATATATATATGTTTTTTTTTTTAAGGTAGACACAATATCTTTATTTTATTTTTATGTGGTGCTGAGGATTGAACCCAGTGCCTCACACATGCCAGGCAAGCATGCTACCACCTGAGCCACATCCCCAACCTTAACTGGAATTTAAGTCAGAGCTCTTGTAGCCCAATTTCAGCAGTCAAGGAAACACAGGTCAGCAAGAAGAATGTGAATTTAAAACACTTCATTTTTTTTAATTAAAAAAAAGAAAAACCATCAAGGCAAGAAGGGCATTACTAATGCACAACAAAAATCTTAAAAAATTTTCTTTCCATGTGGATGGCAACTGCTCTCCAAAATTTCCTCTTTCTCATTCCCTTTCCTTGTAAGCACTCAAAACTTGGTGAGAAGACACCTGGATTGCATGGAGCAGAACTGACCAACAGCCCCAGCTGCTGTCCTGGAATTTACTGTGAATTTGCAGTGAGGCCACACCTTCTTCTGGTGGCTCCCAACCCAAGAGGAGCAGAAATGCTTTGGCCCTAGGACTCCCCAAAGGCTTTGCTGAACTTAAAACTGCACAGGAGTCTAAGAAGGTCCCACCCACTTTCCTTCCCTCTTCGCCACTGGAAGTTAGGCTTGCATTGCAACCAGATGGCTCTCCCAGCTCTCCACTGTGCCACGTTTCCTCTCACAAGTGGTTCCCCTAATTGATTTCTTGCATGCTTAGTTCCCCTCTTGGCAGCTGTCCTTCTGAAGCCCTAGACTAAATATGTGAGACTTGTTCCATTTGCTCCTTCTTTCCATCATACTCATTCTTGCTGAAAGCAGTCACTAATGAGGCTGGAGTGACCAGAAAAATCTCACTGCACTGTCCACCCTCACTCCTTGAGGTAAACAAAACCATGTAAACAAATACCATGAATTGTATCACCCTCCTTCCACTCTGAAGAGTATTCATAAGAATTTCAGATGGATAAGACTACTTTAAAAAAACCACTGCTAATCTAGTGAGTAACATTTAACAAGCATTTCACATTTGCCAGGCATTATGTTAGGAGTTTTATGGACATTTTCACACTTAAACCTTAAAACTCTATGAAATAGAACTGTTATTCCAATTTTATAGAAGAGGAAACTGAGGCCAAATTATTCAAGAGCACACAGTGGTCACTGAAAGAGCTGGAACTCAGGATGGTCTGGCTTGAATGACTGGTCTCTTATCATTAAGTCGTGGGTGAGAGGTCAGAACACAGGGGTTTCAAAGACTATCCTTCATGGAAACTCTTCATGTTTACACAGGGCCTTGAGGCTCAGAAGCCAATTACCCTGTTACCTAGGAATTCAGAGTAGGAACAAGGTTTGCAGCCAGGTATTCTGACTCCATTTTTAGCTCTATTGTCTTACAAAGAAAGAAAACTAAATACAGATCATGGTGATACTTCTGTCTTACAGTGGAGAAATAACTCAAAACAGAGGAGGACTAAGGACAGGAACACAACCCAGATCAAGTCAAAGGGTAATTCCTGGATAGTTCAACCCTTCCCTTAGCCCTCCCACCCAATCCCAGGTTGGGACATGCAGGTCTACAAAATTATGGAATGCCCACTGTAAGCCACTAGAGCAGCGAGGAAGAAGAAGGGGAAGAGGGTCTGTGGTTTGAATATGATTTGTGCCCTCCAAACTCACACAGGAGTTTAATCCCCTAGTCATGTATCAGTAGTATTAAGAGGAGAGAAACTTAATTATGGTTTAGAGGTTGGGCCTCTGGAAGTGGCTCCTGTGGTGAGGAGCCCCATGATTGAATTCCAGTGGCTTTCTAAGGAGAGGGAGAGAGACCACATAGAGATTAAATATGCTCTTGCCATGATGTGATGCAACCTTGTGGGCTCTTAACAAGCTGTTTTGTCTTCTAGCCTTCAAAACTGTGAGCCAAAATATACCTCTTTTCTTTATAAAGTACCCACCCTAGGCATTTCATTATAGTAATGAAAAACAGACTAATATAAGGAGAAAGAGGAAGGGAAGAGAGAAAGGACTAGTTAGACAGAGCAGTTAGGTTCAGTGAACCCTTCTGTGTTGAGCTTTCTGCTAAGAACTGGTTTAAGTTAAAAAAAATCCCTTGCTTCCCTAAGGGACCAATGCTTACCCTACCCAGGCAGAGTGGGGACCAGGACAGACTGGCTGGAGGGGATAACACCTAATTAGAGCCTGAAAGCAGGTATAGGAGTAGGTAAAACCTTCAGACCCATGGGCACTTGCTTATTTGTTAGCTCAATTTAACTTCACAAATGTATTGTGAAGGCCTCCTATGTGTTTAACCTTGTTCCAAGTACAGGGTCCACAGCTGGGGGCAGTCCCTTCCCTCTTGCTGGGAAGAGCTAACCAGTCTTGACACAGGATGAGCTTTAGAGTTGGAACCTACAAGGCTGTAGGACAAGGGGTCCCACTGTCCCTTGCCCAAATCAAGTCCCAACTCGGGAGATGGCAAAACTCTTCACAATCTAATTTCATTGTCCCTTTCCAGTCTCATTTACCTCCATTCCCCTAAAAGCTGGGTACACAACCAACTGTATGAGTATGAATCTGAACATGCCAGGCTTTTGCTCACACTGTTCTTGTTCCTGGCAGGCAGTTATCTTCTCAGATTCTTTTCCTTGACACACTCAGTATTGCTCAAATTCTCCCATTTTCTCATGGTCAATTTTTGTCTCCCTTTCTAGGTTGGTGTGATCCTTAAAGCCGGGACACAAATGAAATACCAAAAGTACCACTGTGGAGCCAGACAGATGTAGGTGGGCTTTGTCTAGCCAGAAGACTTCAGGCCTTTGACCTTCAGCTCCATGTGTATCTAAGAGCACAATTCTTACTTCTGGAAACACAATTAGTGATATTCAGTTCTTGGCACATAGGTGCTCAAAAATGCTTAACTGAACACCATTAATGTTAAAAAGTCTCAGGCCAGAATTTGGACTTTATGAAGGCCCTCGCTGTGAGCTGGATCTTGGAAGGGTTAATGATCAACATTAGCAGTTTTCGAGGTTAAGAATGAGAAATATGCACCTTGTACTTTGCCTCAAAGACCTGCGTGTTAGCTGGGGAAAGAGATGGACAAACTCTCCACAGTTCGTTTCAAATCCCTAGAGCAGTGGTTCTTAAATTCTAGCAAGCATAAAAATTAACTAAGGGTCATCAGCTAAAACAGATCACTGGCCCCAACCCTAATTTGATTCATTATGTCTGCAATGAAGTCTGAGCATTTGAGAGTTTGCATTTCCAACGTGCTCCCAGGTGGTGCTGAAGCTGTTGTGTGGAGAAGATTCTTTTCCTTGACCAAACTTTGGTCAGGCTTTACTGAGCTCTTTTGAATAAAGCTGACCTTGGGCTCCCATGTCCTTCCCTATAGAGTCCAGTTTTAACAAGAATCCTGTTAGGTCAGTTCAACTAGAATCCTCTGACCTTAGTATCTGATCAGGTTGTGCATACTTCACCATCCCCCAGGGGATGTGTAAGCAACCCTAGCTTGCCTTCAGCAAGAATGATAAGTTCAGCCAGATTCTCCCCTATCCCTGATGTTCCTCTTAGTAATTTTCCATCCATTGACCCTCCACCCTGCTCCTTAGCTATAAATCCTCCCTTTTCTTTGTTATATTTGGAGTTGAGCCTAATCTATTGCCACTGCAAAACCCCATTGCAGTCGTCCTTTCATCCACCACAATGCTCCTGAATAAAAGTTTACCTTATCTTTTAAAAAATTTAAATGTATTTTTTAGTACTACGTATTGAACCAAGGGGTCACTTAACCACTGAGCCACATTCCCAGCCCTTTTTTATATTTTATTTAGAGACAGGGCCTCGCGAAGATGCTGAAGCTGGGTTTGAAATAGCAATCCTCCTGCCTCAGCCTCCCAAGCCGAGTGATAACAGGCGTGTGCCACCGAGTATCATCAATATCTATCTCTCCCGCTAAAAACCAGGGTCCTCTTAGAGACCCACTCATTATAAGCTAAGGGTTCTGGGCTCAATACTGGGCACAATGTTTCTGAGTCTGAATCCTGATTCTGCCACAACTTCCATCTTGGCTCTAGGTCATATCACTCTACCTCTCTGTGCTTCATTTAGCCTCTTCTGTGAATTTGTGCATTAGTACAAACCAGTGCATGGAAAGTGCCAAAGATAACCCATGGCACAGGGTTCAATAAATGTTGGTTAAAGCTTACCATCTATTCATTTTCTGGAGGAAGTAGGACGACAAAGCTAGGGGTCTACATGGCTTAAGAAAAGCAAGAATTCCCTCCTCTGCGTAGCCAAGCGGACACAAGATCGGAGTGCCTGTCCTATATCTGTTGTCTGCATAACCCTGTAGGAGCCTGGGGCTCCAACTGGCAGCCCTTATTCTCAAGGGCGCGCTGGAGTCCACCCTCCAGGTTCCCGACGTCCTACTGACGCTGCGCAGGCGCAAACTCCGCTGTGTCCCTGCCTTTTGCACATGCGTACTCAAGTGCGCCGCTCGGAGGCTCTACGGCAGAGCAAATATGGCGGCGGCAATGAGGGTGGCGGCGGCCGGAGCAAGGCTCAGCGTTATAGCTAGTGGTCTGCGCCCTGCGATCCGCAGCCTCTGCAGCCAGCCTGCCTCCGTTAATGAGCGTATTGAAAACAAACGCCGCGCCGCGCTGCTGGGAGGAGGCCAGCATCGCATCGATGCTCAGCATAAGCGAGTGAGTCCAGACAGCTGGCTGAGCGAGTTCCGCCCCTTTGCGGGCGACCTATCACAGCGCGCTCGGCTCGCAGCGCCCGAGGCCTCCCAGCCAATCCGCGTCGTGCCGGGTGGGGCGCGGCGAGAACGTTCACCTGGAGAACCTGGCTTTTTTCGCCAGGCGGCGGGTAAAACCAGAATGATCCTCTGTGGGCTTTGTCACACGCTGCCATCTCCTTGGAATTTTAGACCGACTTGGATGGGCTCCAACCAGCTCACCACTTAACTATAAAGTTTTTGGGCAAAAGTTAGTCTGTAGGAATCAATTTACCTTAAATAGAAGATGGTAATAATCCGGCCCCCCCATCTTATTGTTAATGTAGACATAGGGAAGCGACGACAGTCAATTAAAAAGATCTGGTGGTGTCAGGTTCATTCTTTATAGTAAAAACAGGAAAATCGAGGCGTGTGGGAGGGGAAGTAACTTGGTCACATTAGCCTGGCGTGGAGTGTTTGAGCGCTCGGGGAACTTGTGGCACAGAAGACCAGGTCAGCGTCTTGAGGGTCACAGCATGGATAGGGAGCAGGCAGCTTTTCTGGGGATGTGCAGGCTACTCTGGGACTGAGAGCTTAGGCATTGTCATCCTCCGCCCAGGTTTTGAGGTGAGAATCACAGTCGACCTTCAAGAGATCAGTTGTGTGGGTCATTTAGCCGAAGAAAGGCTGCTGTTTAGTTCAACCTCTGGAGAGGCCTGTCAGTGTTCCTGAACCCTCTTTCTGTCGGCCCTATTGCACAATTTCTTCCTGGAACATTTCTCTACCCCTTCCCAGGCAGATCCTGCTGTTGGTTAAGATGCAGCCTCCAGAGCTGTTTTCCTCTTGCCAAACTGATTTATTTAGTCATGAGGCAGGCTTCCACCCGCAGTTAAACTATTTTTGGATTATTTCCATAGGGTAGATTTCCTAGAAATGGAATTAGTGGGTCAAAGGGTATGAATATTTTAAAAATTCTGTATATGTATATATTGCCAAATTGTTATCCCCCAGACTTCTGCTTTACACAACAGTGTAAAGGATTGGCTGTTTGTTTTAATACACCCTTACTGGCTTTGGCTTCTTTTTTCCTAAGGGGGAAAAATAGCCAGTTTGAGATTTTTTTTGGTGGGGGAAGTATGGTGGATCAGGATATTTGGCTTCTGTTGAGATTTTGGGAGACCAAGGAGTGGAGGCCCTTGGTAGAGTAATGACTTTAACCTCAACTCTGAGAAGCATTTTATTTTATTTAACTTCTCACATGAGCTCTTTAGCACTCTGCCCCATTTCCATTTTACTCAGCAACCCCCACCCCAACACACACACACTGTGGTGTCCCTAAGCAGGGTTCCCAATGTAGGGTAGTAAGAGGAAAAGGAAAAGCCCATCTTGGAGGCAGGAGGAGAACCAGGAAGTTGTGTGCCCTTGGGGTGGAAGCCTGAGGACAGGAGGGAGGGGTTGAGCCTGGTGAACTCCTGTAGGCTTCCCTAGAAGGAGCCTCTAAACCTGAGAATATGGACTCTGACTTTCACTAAGCCTGCTTTGGTTTCCTGTCTTCTGCTTCTTCATTCTTCTTCTTTTTTTATATTTATTTTTTATGTGTACACAATACATTTATTTTGTTTGTTTATTTTTATGTGGTGCTGAGGGTCGAACCCAGGACCTCGCACATGCTAGGTGAGCGCTCTACCACTGAGCCACAACCCTAGCCCTTTCTTTGTTCTTCTTAAGGCCCCTTAGATCTCCACTGTTAATGGAACTAGTTATCTTGTTCCAGGGTCAGGTTCTCCCTACTCCTGTTTCTCTTCACCTTTTCCTCCTCCTCCTTCCTTATTTACCTTCTGCTGTCAGGTGGCTCCTACAGCACTCTATCTCTACCCTGCTTTCCTCATTGTTTGAAATAAAGGCTATGAATAACACCTGTCTACCTTGGCTACTTCAGATGCAATGGAGGCTTTCACATCAACATGAAGGGGCAAACCTTGTCTTGGCCAACAGCTCTTACTTTACTTACTGTTATGGTCTGGATGTGAGGTGTCCCCCAAAAGCTCATGTGTGAGACAATGCAAGAAAGTTTACAGGTGAAATTATGGGTTATGAGAGCCTTCACCTAATCAGTACATTAATCCCCTGATTGGGATTAACTGGGTGGTAACTAGGCAGGGGTAGGGTGTGGTTAGAGGGGATGTGCCTTTGGTATACATATTTTGTTCCTGGAAAGTAGAGCTTAGGTGCGGGAGCACACGCTCACGCTCTTTGCATCCTGGTGCTATCTTCTGGGCTGTATTCCTCCACCACACTCTTTTGCCATGATGTTCTGCCTCACCTTGAATCCAGAGCAATGTAGTTGGCCACCTTGGACAGAGACCTCTGAAACCATGATCCCCAAATAAACTTTTCCTCCTCTAAAATTGTTCTTTTCAGGTCTTTTGTTCACAGCAGCAAAAAAGCTGATTAAAACACTAAGTCCGCAATGACATCACTGAGTGATCTTTGTTGTGTTTCAGGGAAAGCTCACTGCCAGGGAGCGGATCAGTCTCTTGCTGGACCCTGGCAGCTTTGTTGAGAGCGATATGTTTGTGGAACACAGATGTGCAGATTTTGGAATGGCTGCTGATAAAAATAAGGTATCTATTCAAGTAGAGATATGAATATCATAGGCTCTGCTGCCCTTCCCATTACAGCAATCAATCTACAAAGCTTTTCTGGGAAGTCCTATGGAGAAGTACTGCTGGGGTCTCCAGGGTCTTCATCACCTTTCCCCTTGCAGATGGAATGTGAGTGGACTGCTGTAAAACTTGTGCAAGTGGACTCAAGCCCATTTCCTAGGGCTTTGGTTGAGGATTCAATTCTTGCTAGTATATGTCAAATTTGTAAGGAGGGTCATGAGGAATGTCTTTTAGCTATGTTATGGTCTGAGAACTAAGCATCAGGAACCCCTAAATACTGCCCACTTGCCTCTTTTGTCATGCTGAATGTTTGAGGTCAGTAAAAACTGAGTACTTGCTGGGTGGCGCATACACCTATAATCTCAGCAGCTCAGGAGGCTGAGGCAGGAGGATCTCAAGTTCAAAGCCAGCCTCAGCAAAAGTGAGGTGCTAAGCAACTCAATGAGACCATGTCTCTAAATAAAACATAAAACTGAATATCTTTCATGGATGCATGGAGTCATTTGGACTTTTTTTTTTTTTAAAGAGAGAGAGAGAAGAGAGAGAATTTTTATTTTTATTTTTTGAGAGAGAGAGAGAAAGAGAGAGAGAGAGAGAGAGAGAGAGAGAGA